TATTTGAAAATCTGGAATCTGAGGGTGCAAAAAAATCTAAATATTGAGAAAATCATCTTTAAAGTTGTCCAAACACTCTTAAAAATAAAGGTGCTTCAAGATGCCATAGAGGAGCCTTTGTTGTCTAAATAGGTCCATAAAGAACCTCTAACATCTGAAGAACCTTTCTGTTTCACAAAAGCTTCTTTGTGGCGAAAGAAGGTTCTTCAGATTATAAAAAGGTAAGAAAGAGATGGTTCTTTGACTGAATGGTTCTTTGTGGAACCAAAAATGGTTCTTCTATGGCATCGCCGTGAAGAACCTTTCAAGCACCTTTATTTTTAAGAGTGAGTGAAGTTCTTAGCAATGCATATTACTAATCAAAAATTAAGTTTTGATATATTTACGGTAGGAAATTTACAAAATATCTTCACGGAACATGATCTTTACTTAATATCCTAATGATTTTTGGCATAAAAGAAAAATGGATCATTTTGACCCATACAATGTATTGTTGGCTATTGCTACAAACATACCCCAGCGACTTAACACTGCTTTTGTGGTCCAGGGTCACATTTATCAGTTCATGCAATCCCTGGGAATTTAACCTATGATGTTGGTGTTGCTAGAAATGATGGATTTTATCTTTATATTGATTGTGTGTGTTTGTTGGTCAATTTTTTTCTAGTGCATCTCCAAATCTTATTAGCTGTTGGCCTGGCCGTTCTCTGTTTCTGCCTGCTGATTGGCTGCATCGTCTGCTGCTGGCATCAGAAGTCCCGCCCCCTGGATGACAAAGAGGCGGGGCTTTCCCTACCCCCTCTACCTGCAGATCATGTGACGGTGACTCTAAGCCCCTCCCCTTCCATCAACACTCTGCCAATCAAACAGCAGTACGAAGAGCTGGATGGAGACGTTCTGGACTGTCCCTCATTTAACAGCAGCTCGACGCCGTCTGAAGACGGTCTTTCTTTACCATCTCATCCTCCGAAGTCTCGTTTCAATCTACGGCGGCTCAGCTCCCCCGCCTTTCCCTACAAATCCTCTAAACCTGTCCGTAGTTGTTCCTCGCTCCCAAGCATTCCTAAACTCAGCCTGGTTGGGAAGTCACGCCGGGCGATTGATCGTAAAAGCAGTGATAATGTATCGTTTTCGGAAAGCAGCAAGCTTAACGCAGACAGCAGCCGATATTACGGCTCTGGCTCTCACAAAGCCACACCTTCCCTTCACTTCACCCTTCTTTTCTCACCAGCTGAGGGCAAACTCACCGTCACCGTTCTGGGTCTCTACCAAGGCTCTAGGAAACTAAGTGGGACTACGGTGAGGGCTTGTCTGTCTCCGATCTGCCTCGCACCAGTTTTGGGCGGCCCAAAGCGCAGACACAGCCTCGGTCTGGAGGCTCCGGCGCAGGTCTTCCAGCTGCAGGTGAGGTCAGCAGAAGAGCTCCAGTCCTGTACCCTCAGACTGACCGTGTCCAGCAGGGACTTCTCTGGTCTGAGGGAGACGGCTTTGGGTGAACTCGAACTTCCATGTGCTGGAATCCATTGGGAACCCGATTGCACTGTCACCTTTAATCGGCAGCTCAATCCTGCGAGGAGGAGGCTGAGGAAGGTATTGGAGGAGATTATGCATCGTATACCTGGTCAAGGTCAAGTTTATTTATATGTGACCCTGGAGCACAAAACCAGTCATAAAGGGTCAATTTTTTGAAATTGAGATTCATACATCATCTGAAAGCTGAATAAATAAGCTTTCCATTGATGTATGGTTTGTTAGGATCGGACAATATTTGGCTGAGATACAACTATTTGAAAATCTGGAATCTGAGGGAGCAAAAAAATCTAAATATTGAGAAAATCATCTTTAAAGTTGTTCAAATGAAGTTCTTAGCAATGCATATTACTAATCAAAAATTAAGTTTTAATATATTTACAGTAGGAAATTTACAAAATATCTTCACGGAACATGATCTTTACTTAATATCCTAATGATTTTTGGCATAAAAGAAAAATGTATAATTTTGACCCATACAATGTATTGTTGGCTATTTCTACAAATATACCCCAGCGACTTAAGACTGCTTTTGTGCTGCAGGGTCACATATAGCACCTTAAAAGCAACGAGTGCTGACCAAGGTGCTGCACAGCCCAAACATCAGAAATATCAACTAACAAAAGCATTAAGACAATATGAAATTTGAATTTACGTGATGTAAAGTCGCAATTGTGTTATATAAAGTCATTGGGAGATACAGCATAAACTCAGAATTCTGACTTTGTTCCTCGGAAGTGTGAGTTCAATCTCAATTCTGAGAAAAAGTCAGAACTGCTAGAAAAAAAAGTCAGAATTGCGAGATATAAACTTGCAACTGCGGAAAAAAAGACAGAATTGTGAGTTTATATTTTGCCTTATAATTCACATTTATATTATATACATAGTTTATATTCTGCAATTCAGAATTGTAAGATAAAATAACCTTTTTTATTTTTATTTCAGTGGCGGAAACGTTAATAATGTAGTGTATTCCATTCTTGAGGACCACACACTAACAGACTTCTCAAGTCATTCCAAGAACACAAGAAATGTACACCTCGCTGCAAGGAGATGCATGAGAAATTCATTATTCTGAAATTGGCTCAAAATGCAAAATGCAAAAAAAAATGCTTGAATCCTGTGACTTACTGCAATCAGTCTGAAGCAAAAAAAAAAAAAAAAAACGGAGTCTGTGCCCATCATACACGATTCAATTTTCTGCAAAATCCATCAACTCTGACTGCCCAAGGTCTGCAAACTGACTGACTTTTGGCAGCTAGCGTTAATGCATCCAGACTGCAAACTGGGCAAAAGTGTATTCCAGCCTTTAATCAGACAAACACAGTTGTCCCACATCAATCACGTCACTGCTCCAAAATCCTATTTCACACAGCTATATATCTAAATGTTCTGATTGCATTTCAGTATGATAAATCAACTGGTTAAGAAGAACCAAAAGTGATATTTGACCTCATAGTTTGTATTTGATTACTGCTGCTGAATCCAGCAAATGATGCAGTTTTGCTGTGAGGTGAGTCGAGAGGATGATGCCCTGAGGAGTTAACATTGACAGCACAGTGTCAGTAGAGTACAGTACTGCAACGGAAGGCACTGTGATCCAAATCGACTTACATTGCATTGAAGGTGTGCATTTTACCATTTCATGCATTCCCTGGGAATCAAACCCATGATTGATAGGCACGCTCTGCTGTACGAGCTACAGGAATGCTGATAATAACCAAGCTTCTCAGGTGTGAGATCTGGAGAGGTTTCTGTCTGCTGTCATCAGAACACAAACTCTACAGCATGCTGTTGCAGTGGGATTGTACGACTGCTGCGTGACTAGTGTGCCAACAAGTGGTGCGTTATTGTGGCCTGGAGCCAGAGCGCTGTGCCCTGCAGAGATGGACTTGAGCCAGCGCTGATCAGAAACACAGCAGAGATGCACCACAGAGCAGAGGAGCAACCAAAAAAACTGTGAATGTGGGCCTGACAAGAAACTCGACAATAGTTTGAAAGGGTAGTTTAAAGGTTATAAGTCTTAGTTTTTTAACTAGGCTAAGACTTTGTAAGGCAATTTGTAGAGTTTGTTGTTTCAATGTGTGTATGCCTTGTCAGGTGGTTGTATAGATAGATAGATAGATAGATAGATAGATATTCAGATGGACGGACAGACAGACAGACTGATTGATTGATTGATTGGATAGATATTGAGATATATAGAGAGTGAGAGAGAGAGAGAGATTAATGGTCTGAATTTGTTGGATATAGCTTTAAAACTCTTGGAACTGCTGTTGAAGGATTTGGTTTGCTGAAGTTTTGTCAGCATAATGAATAGTCGTTACGTAACGAACGCGTCTCATTCCAGCAGATGCTGGTTTGATTGAGCGTGGGCTCAGAGTCACACTGAAAACACTTCAGTGCATTTGATACTAATGTTCAGATGTAATGCGACAGTGAGTTTGTGCTTCCTCTGAGAGTGTAATGCAATTACGAGGAAATGTTATTGGAGGAAAGTGCTAGAAACATTAACACACAGACACATTCATGATCTGGAATTAAGATCTGTGTCTAGACGCCTGGCAAATACCCCTCGCATCTCCTCCAGACAAAGTTCAAATCCTGTAGTAATTATAATTCATCACTATTCGTCTTTTGTGTCCGTTCAGAGTCAGAGTTCCCAGGATGCATTGGGGGACATCAGGGCTTCTGTTTGTCCGGTGCGGTTTCTGGGTCAGATCCTGATTCTGCTGCAGTATCAGACGCTGGCGCATCGTATGAAGGTGATGGTGAGGAAAGCTGAGAACCTGCCCAAACTCACCAGGATGCCTGGCACTCCAGGTCGGTCTGTCTGGATGAATGTATTTCTTGCATTATCCACTTTGGATAAAAGCATCAGTAAGTCAGAAACAGTGTTGGGGAAAGTAACTTTTAAAAGTAATGCATTACAATATTGCGTTACTCCCTAAAAAAGTAGTAATTAATTGTGTTAGTTACTTTTTATGGAAAGTGCGTTACTACAGTGACACATATATCGGTGGTAATCAGTGTTGGGGGTAACGCATTACAAGTAACGCGAGTTATGTAATCAGATTACTTTTTTCAAGTAACTAGTAAAGTAACTCATTACTTTTTAATTTAGAAGGAAATATCTGAGTTACTTTTTCAAAAAAGTAACACCAGTTACTTTGTTTCCATGTGTTGACTGACAGCTCTGGTGTTGCCATGGTGACAGAAATCGGGAACAAGTGCAGAGACGTTGTGTTCGCTGTGTGAACATGATGTTACTGTAGTTCAAGACTAAATGTGAACTAATATTTACTCATCTCATTTACTCATCTCTTCTGATGCAACTTACAATACATTACACCTACTGAATACACTGACTAGCTTGTAGTATCTTTGGAATAAAGAGATTTTA